GCTACACCCTAAACTCAGCATCACTATATCCCAAAAGTATTAAGTTTGAGAATGAGGTTTGTAATTCTAAATAACCAATGAATAAGTCAGTCATAATTTGTGCTAGCGGATTCCCTATTCCTAAGCTATATTTCTGTCTATAGGGCACTATATCTTCAAAGAAAGTATTATAAACTATGCATAGTTTTACTAGTTCAAAAACTTGTTAAAACATATCCCACCCTCCTAGGACCATCCCGAATCAACCACTTGTCACCCTGTAATGTTTGGTCAGGCTAGCCTTAAACATCTGGGTCACCCTACTTTGCAGGATGACTAGTAAGGCTTGTGGATGGACATAGGTCGTGATGGACGCTCATGCCCATCTCAACACATAAAATTATGCCAATTTACAATTTCACTCTGTGCCAGACTCCTCCTCGCTAAGATTTACCAATAAAAGAATTTTCTGCAAGTGGATTAAGTATTTGTCTTATGTAGTTTAATTATTATCAGGGAAGATAATGTGTGGTGACCACAGTAATGTAACCATTAATGTGATTACAATTATGAAGAAAAACTGGTGGTTAATGGTAGAAACCATCTCAAGGAAGGGAAGATGGTGAAGGGTAGGGAAGATAATGGAGTTTAGGGAAGGTGGGTTAAGGGTATGAAAGAGCTGAGGCAAGAGAAAGTAGTATTAAAGGGTATGAGGAGGAGATGGAGAGTAGGGAACGATGTGAAGGGTAGGGAAGGTTGTGAAGCCTAGGAAACGTGGTGAAGTATAGGGAAGGATTTGAAGGAGAGGGAATTTAGTGAAGGAGGAGAAGAAACACACAACTACAGGAGTCAGAGAGAAATAGTGATTTGGGAATGGATGTAATTCCAACAGTGTCTCTAGAGGCACACATAAACAGTGAAACATCAGAGCATATGGGACGCTGGCAAACATTAGAACGTCACTTAGAATCCTAAACCGGGGCTCTTTCTATGCAATCTACGCATACTTCTCGAATATGTTGCACCGGCGTAGAATTTAAGCTCGAAAAGATTCTAAAGTCTTCAGAAAATGTCCCAATAACGTTGGTGAAAACAAGACATTCAACCCATAAATCCATATAAATAATAATGTATATGTTCGTTTGTTCAAAATCGTTAATCTCCGAAAGTTCTTCACCGATTACTTTCAAATTTTCACACAACGTTCCATTCGCACCCGAGTGGGTTTTTATATACATAATATATGGATGTCACGTCTGTGACTGGAAAAAAACATATATTTTTTTTTAAACTGTGATTTTCATGTGAAGGAAATCTTCAAAACCTCTTTACCGATTGCTTTGAAATTTTGACACAACGTTGCATTCGAATAGGCGCGTGTTTTTATATACCTATTATATACATGCATCACCTGTGACAGGAAAAAAAATTAAAAACAAAAAACAGCGCCATCTGTATGACGTAAGAGCAACACACGCTGTAATATTTGAAAGTTCTCCAATTGCTTTGAAATTTTGACAAAACGTTTCATTCGAATACGTGTGCATTTTTATATACCTGCTATATATATTCCACACATGTGACAGGTAAAAAACATGCGTTTTTTGAGAAACAGGGCCATCTGTTGCACGTAATATGCACACACACTCCATACTAAATATGTTACGATTCCATTTCAGGGTTTCCGATATCATTGATAAATTGAATTTAGATATATTTCGATTTATTTTCATTTTGATTTAATTATTCTGTGACATTGTGTTGGAATTGAGTTGTTTTGTTTACCATACCGTTCATTTCGTAAGTGTAAGTATGGATGCAACACCTGTGACAGGTAAAGACATTCTTTTCTTATGACACAGCGCCATCTGTTGCACGTAAAAGTAACACATGCTATACTATATATGTTACGATTACATTTCAGTGTTTCAAATTTCATTGATAAATTGAATTTTCATAGATTTCCATTTATTTTCATTTTGATTAAATTATTTTGTGTGACATTCCGTTGGAATTGAGCTGTGTTGTTTACCATACCGTTCATTTCGTTAGTATAAGTACAGATGCCACACCTGTGACAGGTAAAACATGCCGTTTTTGAAAAACAGAGCCATCTGTTGCACGTAAGAGCAACACATGCTATACTTAATATATTACGATTCAATTTCAATGTTTCCGAATTTCATTAATATATGGAGTTTTCATAGATTCCGATTTATTTTCATTTTTATTTAATTATTTTGTGTGACAATGCGTTGGAATTAAGCTGTGTTGTTTACCGTAGCATTCTTTTTTGTGAATATAGTTTATTTTTCTATTTTTTCATTTCGTTTTTAATTAACTGCTTTTCTTATATTATATGGAGGAAGAGAGGACAGGGGTGGGGGACGGTGGGGAGGACTAGGGGACAGGGGAGGGGGAAATGGTAGGGAGGACGAGGGGGACGGGAGAGTTGGGGATGGTTAGGAGAACAAAGGGACGGGGGAGTGGGAGATGGTGGGGAGGACAAGGGGACGGGGAAGAGTAGGAACGGTGGGCAGTACGAGGGGGCGGGGAAATGAGGAATGGTAGAGAGGACGAGGGGACGGGGGAGGAGGGATAGTGAAGAGGATGTGAGACAGGGGAAGGTTGCTGTGGCTCAGCACTGCACAGGCTGAGCTACAGCAATACTGAGCCACAGCTAGTCTGAAAATAAAATAATTGACGACGTTTCTGTTCATCCTGGACCATTATCAAGTCATGTAATACAAATAAGAGTGGTTGAGATAATTATGACTTTCTTCACCTTTCTCTTGCACTTACACGACTTGATAATCTTCCAGGACGTACCGAAACGTCGCAAATTCTATTATTTTCGGTTTAAACGTTTGCAACGAAGCAAGTCCAAGAATTGTGATGGGGGATGAAGTGTGAAGACAGACTGAATGAGCTAAACTTGAGGGCGCTAGAAAAGAGGATGGAGGAGAAACATGATAGAGACGTGTAAAATACTTTAGACGATTTGGAGGATAAAATACTTTCCTACTCACTCAGAACAGGAAAATAGGAAAAGTTCACAATACATACTAAAAGAACCAGAGGCCATGGTAGGAAGCTAGAGAATCATCTGAGTTCTAGAGATCTTAAAATATTCTTTTAGCGTAAGAGTAATAGGAAAATGGAATGAACTTGAGGAACAGGTTGAAAAATCCAGCTCCATTTACAATTTTAAAAGCAGATATGATCGGGAAATAGGTCAGGAGTCATTGCATAAGAAAACCGGCAGCAATTAAGGTGGGGGCCCAAGAACTTAAGATCGATCCTGGTGGCACAAATAAGAGAGAACACACATTCTGTAAAGAGTGTGTGAATGAACACACTCACACTCTCACCTGTAAAAGTGTGACCGAAGAAATCAGTGTGGACAGCGATGTCAACAAACATGTCGTTGGTGGTTGACATTATTGAAGATGACATTCATCTTGTAATGCCAGTAACAAAGCTCAGAGATTGTTGTTTTAGAGTCAGCTACTCAGAACAAAAAGTTCCAAGTAGCACGGGCTATGTTGAGCCCATAGTGGACTTGCCTGCCACAAGAGCGGGGCTATAACTTGCGCTCAGAGATGTTGTTTTTGTTTTAGATTCAGCTACTCGGAACAAAACTTCCATATAACACGGGCTACATAGAAACGTAATTGAGTTCGGTTATTCGCAATAACCTTGTTACTGTGATATCTGGGTCAAAGTTTTAAATGAATGTAGAATTTCCATCTTTTCGCACTGATTTTAGTCTTTTGTTTTAATAACGTTATATTGGTGGCGGATATAGATGCACAATGTTCACTAGTGTGTCCCATTCTTCAACTGATTTTTTAACCATAGTAGTCACTGTAGATTTTGCATTTAATTCAGGTGCTCTTGTTGGTTGAAGGTTGAGTTTGATGCGCAGGGCTTCAATTCTTCACATTCCAGTAAGTAATGTAATAATAACATTTCTGCATCTGTTCCACAGATATGATACTCTTTAAGAATTGGTTTATTACCTTCCAGCAGAACTTGTAGCCAAGTCTGAGTCTGTGTAAGGCTACTCCAATATTTCTGGATATGTTTTTGCCAGGCTTGAAAGATGAGTTCCCAATGGCTTGTTCGAACCACATCGCAGTGGGTCTGCCTTCCGGTATTTTGGCTCTGTCGTTACAATTGATAGTTGGGAGTATTTCCCTTCATGATTTTCTCCTTAATCTGTAATAAATTTGGAGGTATTTTTACCTGTACTACAGTTAAAGCAGTAGCTGCTTTTGCTAGTGAGTCTGCCAATTCATTACCATCTATGCCAATGTGATTTGGAATCCAATTTAGGGTGATCAATAGTCCTAGATTGTGTGCCTCTTTTCCAATATGTAGGATTTCAGTGATGAGTTTTATATTATCTCTGTGCAGGCTGGAAAACAATGCCTGGACCGAAGATTTAGAGTCGGTAAGACTCATTTTAGGAGCCTTCTTGTAAATTATTCTCAATTGCATAATTTATGGCCACTTTCAGGGCATTTAATTCAATTTGTAATGTTGAGCACCCACTTTTCTTGTACGTAAAACGTTTGAATATAGCAGTAGGTGAGGCAAACGTGTGATTAGGACATAAATATAAAGGATTAAATTCGTAATATTATTTTCTTTAAAGACTATATCAATTAGGCTCATGGTAAAAATTGAGTGAAAACCTTCGCTATTGTCATACAAATTTCCTCACTTCAAATGTGTTTTCCTTTTTCCTTAATAATCTAATACCCTCTTTACCTTCTGTAATATTTTATAATGTCCTTTTTTAATAACATTAAAAGTGGGAGATTGGGAAGACTGTCTGGAAGATTATATATGTGAACCAGTGTGGAATTTTCCCGGTACGTTGAACTGCCTCAACCCAGCTTCAGTCAACACGGCCGGTTAAGTGATAGTGCCGCAACACTTCCTAAACCAACAAGCGTCATACTGGGGCGTCTGCAGCTCTGGCAATAATTGTGAAATCTGTTGTTTACGGTGTAATGCTTCGTGTGAAAGTCAGCATCACGATAAGACTTGAAGCACCAAGGTCTCTTGTGACTCCAGACCATATATATGCTGTCACTGTTGTTACCGCCACAGATCGTCCTGCTCACTCCAACACCTCCAACATGGTAAGCTCTCACATGATGCTCAGAGCTTCAGAGCTGTTAAGGGAACCTGAGTTCGCCTGCAGAAATACGTTAAGAAAATAGTTAAATGAATGTGCGGACGGCCTCTTTGACCATGCGATACATTCATTACCTTTTACTCATTATTTACCGTCTGACTGAAACCTTCCTGTGAGTTTTTTTTCAGTGATGTTACTGTAGCTTGTTCCATAAATTGTCAACATTATTTATTGACTTGCAGTCTATCGTTTTGAATATAATCCTAAATTTATCGATTTTTATTTAACTATTTTGTATTCTTCCTTTTGTTGACATTTACCTGCTCCCACATGGTAACTCTCACATGATGCTCAGAGCTTCAGAGTTCTTAAATCATTCAGAGAACACATTTGGTCATATGAATCTTCAGACGTCATCTTGGACCACGGGAAACATCCATTCATTCTTACTCATATAATTGTCTAGTCGATGGTTGAAACTCTCCTGTGAGTTTTTTTCTCTTTTGTTACTGTAACTTGTTCCATATATCGGCACCACTGCTTCTTTACTTGGAAGCATCTAATTTATTTACACTCCAAAATTTATTGAAAATGATTACATTATTTTGAATTGACCGGTTGATATTTGCATGAATTTATGGACGTCAGCCTCGTCTCTCCTTCAGCTACCAATTTATGGAAAATGTAAACTTAGGTTATGACTTGGTGCCTTCTTTCGATAATATAATTACATTTGATTATGAAATCACGAGCTTTTCAATGTAAAAAATTACTATATGATATCAGAGTTGTCCGTTAATGTTCCCAATTCCATTCCAGAGGTTTGCTTGTATCGTCGCTGTGGTGACGCTCCTGGTCGTCTCCTGCCACGCCGACCCCGGAGGCTCTGGTGGAGGTAGAGGTGGAGGCTCTGGTGGAGGTGGAGGCTACGGAGGAGGAGGTGGAGGCTCTGGTGGAGGTGGAGGCTACGGAGGAGGTGGAGGCTCTGGTGGAGGTGGAGGCTATGGGGGAGGTGGCGGAGGCTCTGGTGGAGGAAGTTATGGAGGCGGTGGAAGTTCTGGAGGTAGTGGCGGAGGATACGGAGGCTCAAGTAGTAGTGGAGGCTCCAGAGGAGGTGGTGGTGGTGGCGGAGGATATGGAGGATCAAGTGGTGGTGGAGGAGGCTCTGGTGGAGGTGGAGGCTACGGGGGAGGTGGTGGAGGCTCTGGTGGAGGAAGTGGTGGAGGAGGATATGGAGGCGGTGGAAGATCTGGAGGAGGTGGGGGCCACGGAGGCAGTGGAGGTTCTTCAGGAGGTTATGGAAAGTAACATAATTCGCAGATAATATTTTGTCATATCTGATCTTAAAAATATTTAAACAAACTGTTAGTATTAATAAACTTTGGTAAATTATTTAATGGCTTTTATTTATGTTTATTAATGGGATTCATAAATTCAAAATTTGAATCAAATTTACATGAAATTGGAATGGGTCCCCGGCGTTGCTCGGGTGATGGAGAAAACCGCTTACCTTGCGGTTACCTTGTTGTTACCTTGCGGTTACCTTGTAGTTACCTGGCGGTTACCTTGTTGTTACTTGGCGGGTACTCTGTGATTACAATGCAGTTACCGTGTGTTGATTCCGGAAGGTCAAGAGCTCCACGGCCCGGTCTCTGACCAGGTCTCCTAGTTGTTGGTCTGGTCAACCAGGCTCTTGGACGCGGCTGCTCACAGCATTACGCATAAATCACAGCCTGGTTGATCAGGTATCATTTGGAGGTGTTTAACAAGTTCTCTCTTGAACACTGTGAGGGGTCGGCCTGTTATGCCTCTTTTGTGTAATGGAAGTGTGATGAACAGTCTCGGGTCTCTGATGTTGATAGAGTTCTCTCTCAGAATACCTATTGCACCTCTTTTTTTCAACGGAGGTATTCTACACATCCTGTCATGCCTCCTGGTATCATATGATGTTACTCATTTGATCTTGTGAACAGATTTGGAACCAGCCCCTCTAATATTTTCCATGTGTAATCTACGCCACATACTACACTACATAAGGTTGACTACATACATTTTCGTCACTGTAACCAACTTCAGTACACGCAACCTTTAACACTGTAACCATTTACACCACCCACTGCCATCTCTATCTCTGCAGTCATCTTCACAATATGTGGTCTTCATCACTATCGCCACCTTCTTTATCTGGGCACTGCCAGTTCCAATCAAGAACCATCACTGTCACCAACTTCCTTCTCCTTCACCAAATTCCCTCTCCTTTCTTATACCTCATCACTTTTCTTAGTCTTCACAACCTTCCCATCGTTCCCTACCCTCCACCTCCCCTTACCTTTTACCGTCACCTTTCCTCTTTCAATACCCTTAACCACCTTCCCTACCCTTCACCATCTCCCCTACCATTAACCTCCAATTTTCTTCATAATTGTAACCATATTGTAGTTACATTACTGTGGTCACTATACATTACCTTCCCTGATGATAATTAAACTACATAAGACAAATACTTAATCCACTTGCAGAAAAACCTTTCTTTGGTAAATCTTAGAGATGATGAGTCTGGCACAGAGCGAGATTGTAAATTGGCATCATTTTAGGTGTTGAGATGGGCATGAGCGTCCATCACGACCTATGTCTATCCACAAGCAACAACTAGTCATATTGCAAAGTATTGTGACCCAGATGATTTTGCTAGTCTGACCAAACATTACAGGGTGACTGGTGGTTGATTCGGGATGGTCATAGGAGGGTGGGTATGTTTTAACAAGGTTATTGAACTTGTAAAACTATGCATAGTTTTAATACTTTCTTTGAAAATATAGTGCTCTATAGATAGAAATATAGCTTAGGAATTGGGAATCCGCTTGCACAAATTATGACTGACTTGTTCATTGGTTATTTGGAATTACAAATCCCTTTCCCAAACTTAATCTATTGAGATATAGTGATGCAGAATTATTTTCGGTATAGCCACAGAGAAAAAATGAGGAAAAACTACGGGAATTAAACCTCACGTTGCTGGAAGATTGGAGAGATAGGGGGACATGATCACCACATACAAGATTCTCAAAGGAATTGATAAGGTACACAAAGTAAGGTAGAGTTTGTTTAGTGTCAGAGCAGTTAATAAATGGAATGCATTAGGAAGTGATTGGGTGGATAGACTCCTTACACAGTTTCAAGTGTAGATATGATAGAGCCCAATAGGCTCATGAACCTGTACACCTGTTGAATGACGGTGAAGAGGGGGGACCACAGAGCCGAAACTAAACAAACGTAAGCACATCTAGGTGAATACAACTAGGTACATCCTGTACACACACACACACACACACACACACACACACACACACACACACACACACACACACACACACACACACACACACACACACACACACACACACACACACACAAAGCTAGTGGAACATCTGGAGCGAAGGAACTTTGTGACACAACACCAACATGGTTTCAGGGATGGCAAGAAATACCTCGCAGGATTAATTGAATTCTACTATCAGACAACAAGAACCAGAAAAGAAAGAGAATGGTGGGCAGACTGCATGTTTTTGTATTGCCAGAAAGCCTTTGACACAGTACCCCACCAGAGACTAGTGCGAAAGCTGGAGATGCTGGCTGGAGTGAAAGGAAGGTACTCCATTGGATAAGGGAGTGCCTAAGTAATAGACGACAGCGAGTCACTGTGAGGGATGAGGTCTCAGATTGGCGAGACGTCACCAGTGGAGTCCCGCAGGGTTCAGTCCTATGACCCATAATGTTTCTTATATATGTAAATGATCTTCCAGATGGGATAGAATCATTCCTCTCTTTGTTTGCTGATGATGCAAAAATTATGAGAAGGATTAAGACAGAGGAGGACAGCTTGAGGCTTCAATAAGATCTGGACAAGCTGCAGGAATGGTCGAACAAATGGTTGTTAGAGTAGAGGGTAGGGAGCAGGAGACCAGATACAAGGTATCATTTGGGAGATGAAATACTTCAAGAGTCAGAGAGAGAGAAAGACCTGGGGGTTGATATCACACCAGACCTGTCCCCTGAACCTCATATTAAGAGGATAACATCAGCGGCATTATACCAGGTTGGCTAACATAAGAACAGCCTTTTAAAACTTGTGTAAGGAATCTTTCAGAACATTATATACCACATATGTCAGACCAATCCTGGAGTATGCGGCTCCAGCATGGAGTCCATATCTAGTCAAGCATAAGACTAAATTGGAAAAGGTTCAAAGATTTGCCACCAGACTAGTACCCGAGCTGAGAGGTATGAGCTACGAGGAGACTCTACGGGAATTAACTCTCACTTCGTTGGATGACAGAAGAGTTAGGGGCGGACATGATCACCACATTCAAGATTCTCAAGGGAATCGACAGGGTAGATAAATACAGGCTATTTAACACATGGGGCACACGCACTAGGGGACACAGGTGAAAATTGAGTGCCCAAATGAGCCACAGAGACATTAGAAAGAACTTTTTTAGTGTCAGAGTGGTTGACAAATGGAATGCATTAGGAAGTGATGTGGTGGAGGCTGACTCCATACACAGTTTCAATTGTAAATATAATAGAGCCCAATAGGCTCAGGAACCTGTACACCTGTTAATTGACGGTTGAGAGGAGGGACCAAAGAGCCAGAGCTCAACCCCCGCAAGCACAATTAGGTGAATACACACACAAATGACAAAAGTCGTACCGAATTTCAAGAAAGGTGATAGGGAGGAGGTACATAACTACAGACCCGTATCACTGACAAGCATCCCCTGTAAAATACTTGAAATAATAATTAAGCTAAGACTTGCTGCACACCTGGAGAGCATTAGGTTTGTAAACAAATACCAACATAGGATCTGAACAGGGAAATCATACCTAACAAACTTTTTGGAGTTCTACGATAAAATAACAAGGATAAGGCAGGGCAGAAAAGGTTGGGCAGAATGAGTATTTCTAGAGTGCCAAAAAGCCTTTGTTACAGTACCGCAAATGAGACTTGAAAGGCAGGCAGGAGTAAGTAGAAAGGCCCTAGCATGGGTAAAGAACTATCTAACAGGAAGGAGCCAGAGAGTAATGGTAACGGGCGAGAAGTCGGAATGGCGAACAGTAACGAGTGGTGTACTACAAGGATCGGTGTTGGGACCAATTCTATTTCTAATTTACGTAAATGATATGTTTACAGGAATAGAACCCTACATGTCAATGTTCGCGGATGACGCCAAATTAATGAGGAAGAGTGGTGACAGATGAAGATTGTAGGATCCTCCAAGAGGACCTGGACAGATTGCAGAGATGGTCAGAGAAATGGCTACTGGAGTTCAACACGAGTAAATGTAAAGTTATGGAAATAGGATCAGGTGATAGAGACCACGATAACCTTGTTACTGTGATATCTGGGTCTAAGTTTTAAATGAAGGAAGAGTTTCCTTCTTTTCGCACAGATTTTAATCGTTTGTTTTAATATCGTTATCTTGGTGGCGGATATAGATGCACAATGTTCACAAGTGTGTCCCATTCTTCAACTGATTTTTTAACAATTGTAATTGCTGTAGGTTTTGCATTTAACTCAGCTGCTCTTGTTGATTGAATGTTGAGTTTGATGCGCAGGGCTTCAATGTCTCACATTTCATTAAGTAATGTAATAATAGCATTTCTGCATCTGTTCCACAGATATGACACTCTTTAAGTATGGGTTTATTACCTCCCAGCAGCACTTGTAGGCAAGTCTGAGTCTGTGTATGGCTACTGCAATATCTCTGGATAGGTTTTTGCCAGGCTCGAAAGGTGAGTTCTCAATGGCTGGTTCGTACCACATCGTACTGGGGTCTGCCTTCTGCTACTTTGGCTCGGTCGTTACTTTTGATAGTTGAGAGTATTTTCTTCTTGATTTGCTCCTTAATCTGTTATAAAATTGGATGTATTTTTACCTGTACAACAGTTAAAGCAGTAGCAGCTTTTGCTAGTGAGTCTGCCATTTCATTACCGTCTATGCCAATGTGATTGGGAATCCAATTTAGGGTGATCAATAGTCCTAGATTGTGTGCTTCTTTTCCTATATGTTGGATTTCAGTGATGGGTTTTATATTATCTCTGTGCAGGCTGGAAAACAATGCCTGGACCGAAGATTTAGAGTCGGTATGACTCATTTTAGGAGACTTCTTGTAAATCATTCTGAATTGCATTATTTATAGCCACTTTCAGGGCATTTAATTCAATTTGCAATGTTGAGCACCCACTTTACTTGTACGTAAAACGTTTGAATATAGCAGTAGGTGAGGCAAACGTGTGATTAGGGCATCAATAAAAAGGATTATATTTGTAATATTATTTTCTTTAAAGAATATATCAATTAGGCTCAAGGTAAAAATTTAGTGAAAACCTTCACTTTTGTCATTTACATTTCCTCACTTCAGATGTGTTTTCCGTTGTCCTTAATAATCTAATACCCTTTTTACCTTCTGTAAAATTTGATAATGTCCTTTTTTAATGACATTAAAAGTGGGAGATTGGGGAGACTGTCTGGAAAGTTATATATGTAAACCAGTGTGGAATTTTCCCCGGTACGTTGAACTGCCGCAACCCAGCTTCAGTCAACACGGCCGGTTAAGTGATAGTGCCGCAACACTTCCTAAACCAACAAGCGTCATACTGGGGCGTCTGCAGCTCTGGCAATAATTGTGAAATCTGTTGTTTACGGTGTAATGCTTCGTGTGAAAGTCAGCATCACGATAAGACTTGAAGCACCAAGGTCTCTTGTGACTCCAGACCATATATATGCTGCCACTGTTGTTACCACCACACATCGTCCAGCTCACTCCAACACCTCCAACATGGTAAGCTCTCACATGATACTTAGAGCTTCAGAGCTGTTAAGTGAACCTTACTTCGCCTGCAGAAATACGTTAAGAAAATATTTAGTTAAATGAATCTGCGGACGGCCTCTTTGTTCATGCGATACATTCATTCCCTTTTACTCATTATTTACCGTCTGACTGAAACTTTCCTGTGAGTTTTATTTCAGTGATGTTACTGTAGCTTGTTCCATAAATCGTCAACATTATTCACTGACTTGCAGTCAATCGTTTTGAATATAATCCTAAATTTATCGATTTTGATTTAACTATTTTGTATTCTTCCTTTTGTTGACATTTACCTGCTCCCACATGGTAACTCTCACATGATGCTCAGAGCTTCAGAGTTCTTAAATCATTCAGAGAACACATTTGGTCAATGAATCTTCAGACGTCATCTTGGACCACGGGAAACATCCATTCATTCTTACTCCTATAATTGTCTAGTCGATGGTTGAAACTCTCCTGTGAGTTTGTTTCTCTTATGTTACTGTAACTTGTTCCATATATCGGCACCACTGATTCTTTACTTGGAGTCAGCTAATATATTTATACTACCAAATTTATTGAAAATGATTACATTATTTTGAACTGACCGGTTGATATTTGCATGAATTTATAGACGTCAGCCTCGTCTCCCCTTCAGCTACCAATTTATGGAAAATGTAAACATAGGTTATGATTTGGTGCCTTCTTTTGATAATATAATTACATTTGATTATGAAATCCCAAGCTTGTCAATGTAAAAAAAATACGATATGATATCAGAGTTGTCCGTTAATGTTCCCAATTCGATTCCAGAGGTTTGCTTGTATCGTCGCTGTGGTGACGCTCTTGGTCGTCTCCTGCCACGCCGACCCCGGAGGCTCTGGTGGAGGTGGAGGAGGAGGTGGAGGCTCTGGTGGAGGTGGAGGCTACGGTGGAGGCTCAAGAGGAGGTGGAAGCTCTGGTGGAGGTGGAGGCTATGGGGGAGGTGGCGGAGGCTCTGGTGGAGGAAGTTATGGAGGTGGTGGAAGTTCTGGAGGTAGTGGCGGTGGATACGGAGGCTCAAGTAGTAGTGGAGGCTCCAAAGGAGGTGGTAGTGGTGGTGGCGGAGGATATGGAGGATCAAGTGGTGGTGGAGGTGGAGGCTACGGGGGAGGTGGTGGAGGATCTGGTGGAGGCAGTGGTGGAGGAGGATATGGAGGCGGTGGAAGATCTGGAGGAGGTGGGGGCCACAGAGGCAGTGGAGGTTCCTCAGGTTATGGAAAGTAACATAATTCGCAGATAATATTTTGTCATATCTGATCTTAAAAATATTTAAACAAACTGTTAGTATTTATAAACTTTGGTAAATTATTTAATGTCTTTTATTTATGTTTATTAATGGGATTCATAAAATAAAAATTTGAATCAAATTTACATGAAATTGGAATGGGGCCCCCGGAGTTGCTCGGTTGATGGAGAAAACCGCTTACCTTGCGGATTACCTTTTTGTTACCTTGCACCTACCTGGTGGTTACCTTGCTGTTACCTGGCGGTTACCATGTGGTTACCTTGCGGTTACCTTGTTACCTGGCGGTTACCTTATTGTTACCTGGCGGATACCCTGTGATTACAATGCAGTTACCTTTCGTTGTTTCCGGGGGTCAAGATTCCCACGGCCCGGTCTCTGACCAGGTTAATGGTCTGGTCAACCAGGCTCTTGGACGCGGCTGCTCACAGCATTACGTATATATCACAGCCTGGTTGATCAGGTATCCTTTGGAGGTGTTTAACAAGTTCTCTCTTGAACACTGTGAGGGGTCGGCCAGTTATGCCTCTTTTGTGTAGTGGAAGTGTGTTGAACAGTCTCGGGCCTCTGATGTTGATAGTTCTCTCTCAGAGTACCTGTTGCACCTCTTCTTTTCAACGGAGGTATTCTGCAAATCCTGTCATGCCTCCTGGTCTCAAATGATGTTACTCATATGATCTTGTGAACAGATTTGGAACCAGCCCCTCTAATATTTTCCATGTGTAATCTACGCCACATACTACACTACATAAGGTTGACTACATACATTTTCGTCTCTGTAACCAACTTCAGTACACGCAACCTTTAACATTGTAACCATTTACACCACCCACTGTCATCTTTACTTCTGCAGTCATCTCCACTATATGTGATCTTCATCACTATCGCCACCTTCTTTATCTGGGCACTGCCAGTTCCGATCAAGAACCATCACTATCACCAACTTCCTTCTCCTTCACCAAATTCCCTCTCCTTTCTTATATCTCACCGCTTTTCCTACTCTTCACAACCTTCCCATCGTTCCCATCCCCCTACCATTAACCGCCACCTTTGCTCTTTCCATACCCTTAACCACTTTCCCTACCCTTCACCATCTTCCCTACCATTAACCACCATTTTTTCTTCATAATTGTAACCACATTAATTTTTACATTACTGTGGTCACTATACATTACCTTCCTTGATGATAATTAAACTACATAAGACAAATACTTAATCCACTTGCAGAAAAACCTTTCTTTGGTAAATCTTAGAGAGGATGAGTCTGGCACATAGCGAGATTGTAAATTGGCATCATTTTAGGTGTTGAGATGGGCATGAGCGTCCATCACGACCTATGTCTATCCACAAGCAACAACTAGTCATATTGCAAAGTATCGTGACCCAGATGTTTTTGGCTAGCCTGACCAAACATTACAGGGTGACTGGTGGTTGATTCGGGATGGTCATAGGAGGGTGGGTATGTTTTAACAAGGTTATTGAACTAGTAAAACTATGCTTCGTTTATAATACTTTCTTTGTAAATATAGTGCTATATAGACAGAAATATAGCTTAGGAATGGGGAATCCGCTTACACAAATTATGACTGACTTATTCATTGGTTATTTGGAATTACAAATCTCTTTCCCAAACATCATCTATTTGAGATATAGTGATGCTGAATTTTCGGTGTAGCCACAGAGAAAAAAATTGGAGCTTTCTAGAATAATTTGAATGAGTTGCATTCCTTAACCAAATTAAAACATTGAAGAGAAACAAATGAGAATATTTATGTTCTTATGTTCATGTTTTACGTCATATATGAACTTGTCACAATTCCCTAATAATAAGTTTGCAACATCAGAGGTAGAGGAAAAGTGAGCATCCATTAGAAAATAATACGAAAATTTGTATTCAGCGCAGATGTGATGAGAGATAGTGTTTTCCTATTTGTCACAATTTCCTAATAACTAGTTTACAACATCGGAGGTAGAAGGAAAGTGAGCAGCTATTAGAAAAATAACTATTTTTTTAATTTAGGACTGATGTGATGAGCGGTAGCGTTTACCTGTATAGGGGGCTGGACCACAGTGTATTCCACAACTGACTCACCAGAAAACTGCCAGGTACCCCGTATACGAGATGTAAACTGACCACTATAACACAGCATTCATGAGTTCTTGCTCGATTAGTCTCATGTGTAAACTTCTAGCAGTATGCATTATCATGGCTAAATATACAACTTCCAAATCACTGTGAGTTTGTTATGATTGTTCAATTGCCTTTCGTTTCAGTATTCTCCACTGTCACTGCTACTGAGACACTTATGTTGATTTCTACTCCTGGTCTTCCACAGGCTGTATTTGCAAGAATATCATCAGTATCCAAAGGCATTTAGTCTCAAATATATTTTCTTTAGCAGCAAAAGCATTAATTCGAATACCTCTAATTTTTGACTGTTACTACTTTGTGCAGTCAATGCCAGGAATGTTTTTGTCAATGCCAGGAATGCAGAATGCAAGGAGGCGGCGGAACACCTGAAGGACGGTAAACAATTAAGGGAAACTACCTCCCGGTATCAACTACAGTAAGTCTCCTTGGAGTGTTTATAACACTGATCCTTCTTAGGAGGCAAACGGAAATAGGATAACTTCAGCAGTATACACTACAATGACAAAAGTTAGAACATCATTCAGGAACCTAAATAAAGAGTCATTTAGATCAGTACACCTGTCTATGTAAGGTCAGTGTTAGTGTATACTGCCCCATAGTGGAACCCTTATTTAGAAAATGCTAAGAAAATCAGAAAACGTTCAGAGGTTTAAAACCGGGTTTGTCCTGAGATTACGAGGAATGGGGGAATGAAAATGGATTGAAAGAACTAGACCTGACGTCGCTGGAAAAAATAAGAGACATAAGAGGCTTGAATGGGACTTGTAATATTTTTAGGAGGATTGACAGCCTGGAAAAGGAAACGTTCAAAGTTTATATCAAAATAATAAGAGAGATTGGACGCAACTTTGAGATACAGATGAATAAAAGGATACTACTAAGTATTACTTAAGTATACGAGTAGTGAATAAATTATATGAACTCGCTAGAACGGGGTTTCGAGTCCTTCCCAGGGAGTAATTACTGAGTACCAATACTTGACTGTTCGCCTTTGTTCCACCAACAGTAACTTGATACCAAATTCTTAACTGATTGGTGGTTTCCATTCTATGGAAAACTAGTGGGGTAAGGCTTAATATGAACAATGAAAAGGGAATGCTCTCAACCTGCTCAGTGGAGTCGGAAGCATACTGTTGCTGTACACACGTGCACACAAAAATAAAAGTAGGTAGAGAACCCCATTCATAATTTCAAAAGTAGATACGATAATTGAATTGGGCAAAAGAGTCATTAAATTAGACAACCAACGGGTAGGAAGGAGGAGGTCCAAGATATAGAACTTGTTCATGCAAGTACAAATATGTGAACTCTGGTAGGTGTGTACACACACATACACACACAAAACTATACTAGAGAAGGCTCAGAGGTTTGCTACCAGACTAGTGCCCGAACTGAGGGACATGAGCTATGAGGGAAAAACTATGGAAATTAAACCTCACGTCGCTGGAAGATTGGAGAGATAGGGGGGACATGATCACCTCATACAAGATTCTCAAAGGAATTGATAAGGTAGACAAGTAAGGTTGAATTTGTTTAATGTCAGTAGTTAATAAGTGGAATGCATTAGGAAGTGATTGGGTGGATTGACTCCTTACACAGTTTCAAGTGTAGATATTATAGAGCCCAATAGGCTCATGAACCTGTACACCTGTTGACTGACGGTGGAGAGGGGGGACCACAGAGCCGAAACTAAACCCACATAAGCACAACTAGGTGAATACAACTAGGTACAACCTGTACACACACACACACACACACACACACACACACACACACACACACACACACACACACACACACACACACACACAAAGCTAGTGGAACATCTGGACCGAAGGAACTTTGTGACACAATACCAACATGGGTTCAGGGATGGCAAGTCATGCCTCACAGGATTAATTGAATTCTACGATCAGGCAAGAAAGAGAGTGATGAGCAGACTGCATATTTTTGGATTGCTAGAAAGCTTTTGATACAGAAATCAATGACATAATGACCACACCAGAGATTAATGCGAAAGCTGGAGATGCAGGCAGGAGCAAAAGGAAGGTACTCCATTGGATAAAGGAGTACCTAAGTAACAGACGACAGCGAGTCACTTTGAGGGGTGAGGTCTCAGATTGGTGAGACGTCACCAGTGGAGTCCCGCAGGGTTCAGTCCTTTGACCCATACTGTTTCTTACATATGTAAATGATCTTCCAGATGGGATAGAATCATTCCTCTCATTGTTTGCTGATGATGCAAAAATTTTGAGGAGGATTAAGTCGGGGGAAGTTATTATTAGGTAACAAGATGACCTAGAGAGACTGAATGAATGGTCCAACAAATGGCTACTAAAGTTTAACGCGAGTAAATGTAATGCAATGAAACAGGGAAGTGGAAACAAGAGGCCAGACACAAGCTTCTGATTGGGAGATGAACTCCTTCATGAAACCGACAGACAGAAAGATCTAGGAGTTAATATCACGCCAAACCTGTCTCCTGAAGCCCACATCAAAAGAATAACATTTATGGCGTGTAAGGCTGACTAACATCAGAACTGCCTTCAGGAACCTGTGTAAGGAATCATTTAGAACCTTGTATACCACATATGTAACACCAATCCTGGAGTATGCGGCGCCAGCATAGAATCCGTACCTTGTCAAGCACAAGGCGAAGCTTGAAAAAAGTTCATAGGTATGCCACAAGGCTAGTCTCAGAACTAAGAGGCATGAGTTACGAGGAAAGGCTGCGTGAAATGCACCTCACGACACAGGAAGACCAAAGAGTAAGGGAGACATGATCACCACCTACAAAATCCTCAGAAGAATTGACAGGGTAGATAATATAAACTGTTTAACACGGGTAGTACGCGACCAACGGGACACAGGTAGAAAATGAGTACCCAAATGAGCCACAGGAACGTTAGAAAGAACTTTTTCAGTGTCAGAGTAGTTAACAGATGGAATGCATTAGGCAGTGATGTGGTGGAGACTGACTCCATACACAGTTTCAAACATAGATATGATAGAGCCCAGTAGGCTCTGGAATCTGTACACCAGTTGATTGACAGCTGAGAGGCGGGACCAAAGAGCCAGAGCTCAACCCCTGCAAGCATAACTAGGTGAGTACACACACACACATACGTTTATAGATTTAAGCTATAGAAACACTATCTCTCATCACATCTGCGCTGAATACAAATTATTGTTTTTTAAATCGAGGCTCACTTTCCCTCTACCTCCGATGCTGCAATATTGTTATTAGGAAATAGTGACAAGTTCATATATGACGTTAAACAAGAACATAAGAACGTAAAATAAATATTTTCATATGTTTCTCTTCAATGTTTTAATTTGGTTAAAGAATGCAACTCATTCAAATTATTCCAAAATGCTTCAATTTTTTTCTCTGTGGTTACACCCAAAACTCGGCATCACTATTTTCCAAAAATATTAAGTTTGGGAAAGAGGTTTGTAATTCTAAATAACTAATGAATAAGTCAGTCATAATTTATGCAAGCGGTTTTCATAGTCCTAAGCCATATTTCTGTCTATAGAGCACTATATTTTCAAAGAAAGTATTATAAACGATGCATAGTTTTACTAGTTCAATAAACTTTTTAAAACATACCCACTCCCCCTATGACCATCCCGAATCAACCACTTACCATAATGTAATATTTGGTCAGGCTAGCCATAATCATCTGGGTCACCTTACTTTGCAGGATGACTAGTTGTTGCTTGTGGATGGACATAGGTCGTGATGGACGCTCATGCCCATCTCAACACATAAAATGCCAATTTACAATCTCGCTATGTGCCAGACTCATCCTCTCTAAGAATTACCAATGAAAGTTTTTTTGCAAGAAGTTTAAGTATTAGTTTTATGTACTTAAATTATTATCAGGGAAGGTAATGTGTGGTGACCAGTAATGTAACCATTAATGTGGTTACAATTAGGAAAAAAACTGGTGGTTAATGGTAGGAACCATCTGAGGTAGAGAAGATAGTGAAGGGTAGGGAAGGTAATGGAGTGTAGGGAAGGTGGTTAAAGGGGCATAATGGTCAAATATGCAAAAAAAATGCAATGAATGAAAATTAGTTCAATTTCAATCAAACGTTTTTTGTCTAGTTGTATATAAAAAGGACTTGATCTGGTCTGAGTCTCAGCATAGTAGCATAAATAGGATGGGAGAAAAAAAATATTGTATTGTGTCAACAATTTTCCGAAATGTTCAAAAATTAACATCAAGCACAAGTGTCAACTGAAATCATGTCTATGACTCTCAGCTATCACAATACCATATAATAAAACAATTAAATAATTAGTTTTTTCCACAAAAAAATTTAGTTAAAAAGAATTAGATTTTATTCAATATTTTTTGTCTTATTTGTTTATATAGCAATTTCCATGAAACTTATACACCTTACAACACATAAGCCTTTCTGTAAGGGTGAAAATCCTTAAAGAAATTGGTTGATGTCAACCTCAGTAGCAGATGGCAGCACATTAGACTTCATTTTTTATTAATTTCTTTTCAAGTAACATAACCGTAACTACTTCTCTCTCATTTTTATTTAATTTACATGACACTTGCACCTTATATGTAGAGTTTATGTTTCTACAATCTTTACGAAGAGGTTTTTTTCCTAGGATTATTTGCTGATTTTATAAATAGTAATAAACATGATAGATTTGCATAATTTTTTTTTTGCACTTTGACTATTTATATTAGTAAAACTATACATATTTTGGAAAATCCGCTTATACAGATCCTTTATTATATACTACCGTGATAGAAGAGTGTTATAAAAATGATTTCACTTGAACCTTGTCGTTGTAGAGGCTTATTAAAAATGGAATGGAACTTCGTTACTTCTGTACAATTCGTTGAAACCCCCCCAAAAATCTTCCTTTCTATTTAGGTTACGATGCTGAAACTTAGAACAGTTGCAGCCCTTTTCATATACAATTCGTCAAAAAAGTTTGGTTGACATTGAACAACTTATAATAAAGTAAATTATGCCCCAATATCCATTATATCTTTCCATATTCCAGATTTCCATATCCATTATGAATATGGAAAGAGCTAAGGCGAGAGAAGGTGGTGGTAAAGGGTACGGGGAGGAGATGGAAAGTAGGGAACGATGTGAAGGGTAGGGAAGGTTGTGAAGCCTAGGAAACGTGGTGAAGTACAGGGAAGGATTTAAAGGAGATGGAATTTGGTGAAGGAGAAGAAGAAGAAACACAACTACAGGGGTTGGAAAGAAATAGTGATTTGGAAATGTATGTAATTCCAACATTGACTCCAGAGGCATACTGAAACAGTGAAACATCAAAGCATAAGGTACGCTGGCAAACATTAGAACGTCACTTAGAATCCTAAATAAGGGTTCTTTCCATGCAAGCTACGCATACTTCTCGAATATGTTGCACCAGCCTGGAATTTAAGATCAAAAAGGTTCTGAAGTCTTCAGAAAATGTTCCAATAACGTTGCTGAAAATTGGACATTCAACACATAAATCTGAAATATAAGAATTGACGACGTTTCTGTCCATCCTGGACCATTATCAGGTCGTGTAACAGAAATAAGAGTGGTTGAGATAATTATGACTATCTCCACCTTTCTCTTGCAATTACATGACTTGATAATTTTCCAGGACGTATCGAAACGTCGTCAATTCTAGTATTTTTGGTTCAAAAGTTTTCAACGAAGCTCGTCCCGGAATTGCAATGGGGAATGGAATATGAAGACAGGTTGAGTGAGCTGACTTGACGGCGCCAGAAAAGAGGATAGAGGGGAAACATGATAGAGACGTGTAAAATACTTTGCACAATTTGAAGGATAAAATACTTTCCTACTCACACAGAACAGGAAAAGAGGAAATGATTTTAGTCTTTTGTTTTAATAACGTTATCTTAGTGGTGGATATAGATGCACAATGTTCACTAGTGTGTCCCATTCTTCAACTGATTTTTTAACAATTGTAATTATTGTAGATTTTGCATTTAATTCAGCTGCTCTTGTTGGCTGAATGTTGAGTTTGATGCGCAGGGCTTCAATGCTTCACATTCCAGTAAGCAATGTAATAATAGCATTTCTGCATCTGTTCCACAGATATGACACTCTTTAAGTATGGGTTTATTATAACAGTTAGAGGAGTAACAGGTTTTGCTAGTGCGTCTGACATTTCATTATCATCTATGCTAATGTGACTTGGAATACAATTTAGAGTGATTAACATTCCTAGATTGTGTGCTTCTTTTCCTATATGTAGGATTTCAGTGATGAGTTTTATAGTATCTCTGTGCAGGCTGGAAAACAATGCCTAGACCGAAGATTTAGAATCGATATGAATTATGACATCTTTTAAATAATTCTCAATTGCATAATTTATGGCCTCTTTCAGGGCATTTAATTCTATTTGCAATGTTGAGCACCCACTTTACTTGTACGTAAAACTTACGAATATAGCAGTAGGTGAGGGCGAAGGTGTGATTAGGGCCTTAAATAAAAAGGATTAAGTTCGTAATAATTATTTTTAATAAAGAATATACCAATTAGGCTCATGGTAAAAAATTTGTAAAAACCTTCACTTTTGTCATTCACATTTCCTCACTTTAGATGTGTTTTCCATTTCCTTAATAATCTAATACCCTTTTTACCTTCTGTAAAATTTACTAATGTCACTTTTTTAATGACATTAAAAGTGGGAGATTAGGAGGACTGTCTGGAAGATTATACATGTGAAGCAGTGTGTAATTTTCCCGGTACGTTGAACTGCCGTAACCCAGTGTCAGTCAACACGGCCGGTTAAGTGATAGTGCCGCAACACTTCCTAAACCAACAAGCGTCATACTGGGGCGTCTGCAGCTCTGGCAACAATTGTGAAATCTGTTGTTTACGGTGTAATGCTTTGTGTGAAAGTTGGCAGCACGATAAGACTTGAAGCACCAAGGTCTCGTGTGACTCCAGACCATATATATGCTGTCACTGCTGTTACCACCACACATCGTCCAGCTCACTCCAACACCTCCAACATGGTAAGCTCTCACATGATGCTCAGAGCTTTAGAGTTCTTAAATCATTCAGAGAACGCATTTGGTCAAATGAATCCTCAGACGTCATCTTGGACCACGGGAAACATCTATTCACTTGTTCCATATATCGGCAGCACTGCTTCTTTACTTGGAGTCATCTAATTTATTTGTAATCCTACAAATAATCCTAATCCTTATAATCCTAAAGTAATCCTAATATATTGAATATGATTACATTATTTAGTATTGAACCTTTGGATGATATTTGCATGAATTTATATATGTCAGTCTCGTCTCTCCTTCAGCTACGAATTTATGAAAAATGTGAACTTAGGGTATGGCTTGGTGCCCTATTTTGATAATATAATTACATTTGACTATGAATTCACGAGCTTTTTCAATGTAAACAAAATTACTGTACGATTTCAGAGTTGTCCGTTAATGTTGACAATTCCATTCCAGAGGTTTGCTTGTATCGTCGCTGTGGTGACGCTCCTGGTCGTCTCCTGCCACGCCGACCCCGGAGGCTCTGGTGGAGGTGGAGGTGGAGGCTACGGGGGAGGTGGTGGAGGCTCTGGTGGAGGTGGAGGCTCAAGAGGGGGTGGAGGTTCTGGTGGAGGTGGAGGCTATGGGGGAGGTGGTGGAGGCTCTGGAGGAGGTGGAGGCTATGGGGGAGGTGGTGGAGGCTCTGGTGGAGGTGGAGGCTACGAGGGAGGTGGTGGAGGTGGAGGCTCTGGTGGAGGTGGAGGCTACCAGGGAGGTAGTGGAGGTGGAGGCTCTGGTTCAGGAGGTTATGGAGGCGGTGGAAGTTCTGGAGGTGGCGGAGGAGGATACGGAAGCTCAAGTAGTGGAGGAGGCTCCAGAGGAGGTGGTGGTGGCGGAGGATATGGAGGATCAAGTGGTGGTGGTGGAGGAGGTTATGGAGGCGGCGGAAATTCTGGAGGAGGTGGGGGCCACGGAGGCAGTGGAGGAGGTGGAGGTTCGTCAGGTGGTTATGGAAAGTAATAATGAGAACGACTCAAGACAGAACCTTCCTCTCTGAAGCACCATTATGCACCCAACATGATAACAACCTCAGATTGGTAGTCCAGTTTCACGATAATCCACTGCTTCAGTAAAGTGTTTCTGGAGGTTGCTTCCTAAACCAATAAAATATAAGAACAAATTTCCTCATAAAATATGATGATCGAATCTACTAGTCAAATATTTAAGAAGACTGTGATTAATAATAAACTAATAATATTATATTTTGGCTTTTATTTATGTAAACGTTAAGGGAATCAACAGAGAAACTTTGTACTTGTCATATTACACACTTGTCACACTACACACCCATTACACTACACGCCCATCACACTACTCACCCATCACACTACACACCCGTCACACTACACACCCATCACACTACACACCAGTCACATTACTCACCCGTCACACTACACACCCGCATAAAGAAATGTCTATAAGTGAAATTGTCCGCTGTCGGCAACACTCCTCACGACACTTCTCTGGCAACATGGTCAGCTGACTGGGTCCACTCCTGAAGCGGCGGGCACACACCTCACGCCACTGGCAACATGATCAGCTGACGGCTCCAACTGTCAAAACCGCCGGGGCTTTCCCTGCCCCTCAGGCAACACGATGAGCTGATGGGTCCAACTGTCACACAGCTGAGCCGTTTCAAAGTTCGTTCTGTCCTCTTGAAAGCCTGTCCCCACTTCCAGACGCACTAACGTCAACGCCTCTATATATATTAATGCTCACACGCACCAACTCATGCTTATATGAGCTCCTTGGCTCCTAGCCTAACACTATCACTTAGACAATGAGATAGCAAGAAATATTTACTACATATAAAATACACTAGCTTGCCTAGATCAAAGGGGTAAAGGGAGGGACAATTATCTACCTTACTTCCCTCCAACCACGAAGCCGACTCGTCCTCTGTTGAGGGATGTTGAGGTTTCTGGTCTCCCGACGATCAGTTCCCACACACACAGGTTCCTCCGTCGTCCTCGTGGTATCGCGTCCTCGCCGTACTCACTCCCGACAGGTACTGTCTTCCTCCTCTCCGGGGTACTGGAGACAGGTCCCTGCGACGTCGTCGTCCTCCACTCTCACTGGCACTGCCGACCCTTGCAGTCCAGCACAGCTTCCCCTTGCCTCACTGCCAGTAGATTCGGCCCGGCCGTAGCTTTTCGCTTGATGTGTATAACGTGGTCCATTGGCGTCCCAGACGTCGCCAGCCCAACGTTCGTCCCTGCTGCAGACTCTTGACAGAGCTCTTGGCTCTCTAATCCGGCCCGTCCTCGCTTCTGGGCACTCCACGGAAGTTGGATGGCCTCCCAGACTGTCTGCCGTATCGAAACGATGCTTAAATCTACTGGTAAAGGCTCTCTAGCCTCTAGATCCGGATCTCACTCGACCGCGTCCTCACTCTAGAGCGGCTCGTGATGTACTCTCTCTCGCCCAGGCGCCAGCGACCCCGAGAGCCCTCCGCCTCGTGACGTCACACCGCCGGAAGGCTCTCGTCATTGGTCACTTCCGGCCCGTGACCTTACCTGGCCAATCAGGTGCCGAGAGGAGTCACGATGCCTTGGCGGGAAACAGGATGTCTTGCGCCCCAAAAAGGCGTAAGCCCCTTGCATTATCAAACTTAACTGGCCATTTTACAGCCAGCTTAATCACGCTCCACGCTTTCCCACACATGAAAATGTTCCCTGAACATCAGAGAATACTCAGGTTACAGAGATATGACTCTTTTAAGCTGGAAAGAAAGAAATATAGGGGGTGGGACACCGACACACAGCCCAATTTTTTTTTACCACATTCACACTACTCGTTGAGGGTGTGCATACAATGCGACCCAAACGACTGAAGGTTAGAGCTACCCCCTTGACGGTCATGCTTTCGAGAGAAGCAATATTCTTAAGGTCCTGAAGGACGTTATCGGCATCACACCTACTGACATTAGTCAGGAAGGTGATGATATCATGCTCTTCTTTTCATGTGAGGAAGAGCTTGAAACTCTTGACCAACGATGCCATACTTCGCAAGGAGCACCCCCTACATCCTCTCTTCCCACATCATTTCCTGGCTGGAAGAACTGTTATTACCAGCAGGACCAGTCAGTGGATCGCTGACCGACCGCAACATAATATTATGGATAATATCGAGGACGAAATTCTGAACCTGTGTGTATTTAACCTCGAGTTCTGCAGCACCGACAAATCATCGATGAAGATTACTTCACCACAATAGCTGCTGCCACCCAGGCTGCCACACAAGGTTTCTACTGCTTCGGCTTACAAATTCAACCCCACCAAGTAAAAAAGGAACGATACCATGAGCTCCAACAGTGCTTCAAGTGCTACGAGCTCTCCCACCCAACCAACAAGTGTCAGCACCCTGTTCAAAAGAGCAGTCTGTGCGCACTGGACCATCACTACTCCATATGAAAGGCAACAACCCATCTCTGCTTGCTTTGCGATAGCAATCATCCCGAAATTTCCTACCTCTGCGCCCGAAGACAGGAAAACATCTTGGCCCAGGTTGAAGCCAAGAGAAACAACCCTTCTACCTCCGCGACCAGAGCCCCAGGCGCTCAACCCACCACCTCAGCTCCCACCAACCGACCAGAAGACTTGCCGGTCTTACCAAAAAGTAGCTCCTCCCTCCAGGCGACCCAGCCTTCACAATGCGGACCCATGGCCCCACAGGCTCTTTCGCAGCCCCCTGCGTCACGTGCAGGCATTATTCCTGGTCTAATTAGACTAGCGGAAAGGCTTGCTGGACCAGACAACCACCGTTTTGTCAGTGAACTGAACACATTATACCTAGCCAATGGCCTGGATCACAACATAGCCCCTGGCACAAGTCTCACTGCCTCCACTACCACTCCGGAGACTACCACGAGGACGACCATGAGGTCGATTTCAACACAGACTCTAGAACCACCCAAGACCCGAGCGTCACAGACAGAGGTATTTCCCTCTCTAGCTCCCAACACTCCTACCATCACCATCTCAGCTGAAGCGCTAGCAGACGTTCTGTCTACAAATACTAACAGCACCATCAACGTTCCTGAAATAGCTTCTACCACCAATCCACGACACCTGAGCCTATCTCAGGCTGCGAGACGAAAGACGAAAACACCAACTACGGATGTTTCGGACTTCTCAGACGATGAAATTTTAGTAGGAGCTCCACCGCTGCACCACAAATACTACACCTACTCTGTACAAGACCTCCTCAAACTCCAACGACAACACGGCTCAGCCAAAGTCTCAGAAAAAGAAAAACGGAAGACCTAGAGGTCAACACTAACCCCACCAGCTCTGGTAACTGGTACAGCCAGCCCTCCCGAGGCTGAAGTCCACTATTAAGGCCCCAAGCCATCCCAAGATCTCTAGTATCAACTATTGATACAGATGCAGGCGATGAGTCACAATAACGTGGCTAAAGTATGTTGACCAGACCACACACTAGAAGGTGAAGGGACGACGACGTTTCGGTCCATGCTGGACCATTCTCAAGTCGATTGTTACAAAATGGAGTGAAGGAATCGACTTGGTGAAGGAATGTGCGTGAAGGAATCATGCACAATCGACTTGAGAATGGTCCAGGACGGACCGAAACGTCGTCGTCCCTTCACCTTCTAGTGTATTGATACAGATAATGGCTCCAAAGAGTCTTTACTTACGGGCTCACCATAACCCGTGCTACTTGGAACTTTTTGTTCTAAGTAGCTGCATCTAAAACGACAACAACAACGATAGCAGCCAGCCAGCTACAGCCCCGCTCCTGTGCAGGTAAGTCCACTACGGGCTCACCATAGCCCGTGCTATTTGGAACATTTTATTCTGAGAAGCTGAATCTAAAACAACAAACAGATAGCAGCCTCACGTTGAGATGTAAGTCTCGTCCTAAACACACACTCAGACATTGACAAAGCGCTTATTATGAGAGTGCGAATGATGGTGTAAAGTCCTCACATAAATTTCAGATATACACAAGTGTGGGTTTTTATCTTATGTTATTATGTCTGTGAAAAGACGTTATCAATTACTAATTATTATTATTGTTATTATTTTTGTATTTGTCAAGGCAAATGGGGGGACCTCCGACAAGCCGCTGACTTTCTGCCTTCGTCGAGGCCACTTAGTGGTTCTCGGGTAAATTTAATGCATTAAAACTAATTTAGTTGGTTATCAAAAATGAATTCGTTTTCTTTCTTTCAAAGAAAACGTTTAAATTCTAAAGACTCAATGCGTAACAAAAGTATTCTTAATCATATATTTTTTTTTTAATAAACTTGTTCGTTCTGTTTAACCATTGTCGGAGACAGTAAGCATGTTCGCGTAATATTTATATGAGAGCAGAAAATAAATAGATTTGTTAGGTCCTGTAGCACAGTGGTCTACGTCGTCGGCTCCAAACCAAAAGGATCACGCCCAAGATTCCTTGGTTATCCCGGCATGATACTTGTGGTAACAAAGATATGGTTGGGCAAGTTTCCTTTCACCTAATTCCACTATTCACCTACCAGTTAACCCGCCCCTTGGAAACAGGCATTTGTTATGGTTACCATCCTGGGGAAGGACTGGTAGTTGGCCCAGAATGCTGGGATTTGTAATAAATATCTACGGAAGCAGAAATATTATCCTTCAGCTAAATAATAATAATTGATTTTGAATTAATTGATTTTGAATAATTGAATTTTGATTTTGAATAATTGAATTTTGATTTTGAATAATTGATTTTGAATAATTGATTCAGCTAAATAATAATAATTGATTTTGTCAGGGGACAGGCAGCCTTTATGTATGTACATGTTAAGCTTAAATCGTGGCCTCCCCCTCCTTCCTCAAAATATTGACCCTCCACAAAATGCAACCTAACAATAGGAATCCAGATATCTCTGGGTACCCATTTACAGCTAGGAGAACAGAGTCATTGGGTGATAGGAAACGTGCCCGATCATTTCTGTCCTAAGCAGGAATCGA